AAAAAGTTATTCATTAAATTTGCAACGGTTATTATTCATTTTACTAATACACGCATCACTGAACTCATCAAGATGTTTGTTTGATAAGCATGTCAACATGTTTGACGCACATCTATCTTTAAAGCAAGAAAAGAAAAGAGCATAAAAGAGCTTTCAAAAAGTTTAAATCTATTTTTTAGTATCATCAAGGCGAAATAATACGCAACAGCAAATCTTATTTATCCACGAATTGTCTCTATCTTAAAATTAGGTATGTTCGACTTTCATCTAGTCTCAATTTTTTACGTTCTATGCTACTTGATACTTCGACCAAATTGTCTACAAATCAGAATTATTACTTCTCTTTGATGCTTCCGGCCATAAGATCAACGGTTGAGTGTTTAAAAATAAATTAATTCTTATACATAGCAAACAATGTAGTTTTATTTAATTTTATTCTTCAAATTATTATTCAAAATAAAAAGTTTCAGAGATTATAAAGTCATAAATTAACATATATTTGTCAATCTGCCCGACTGGTTTCGGGCATTATGCATAAGTATTTTGTTCATAAATTTTGTTCACATGTACATTAAATGCCAAATAAAAAAAGATCGTATTATATTTTATGAATACGTGAATATAAAACTGCTATTATATGATTATAATTAATTACAGTGTTATTTAAATTAATTTAGATTGATTAAACGTACACACAAATAATTGCAATTACAATTGTAAATTACTGTGTGTGCAATTATTTGCAATTATTTATAATTATGTAATGGAAAGAAAGTTATGCTAAAATTGTGTGTGCAAATCACATGATTTAAGAATTGCACAAAAATTTATCTGCTATCAACTATTATCCTTTAATGACTTTCGATTGAGGTATTTCTGATTGTGAATCATAAATTTTCATCTGTCCTTAATCAAATTTAACTATTTAATTATTTATCCAGACTTCTTAATTTTAATATTAAATATCTCTTTCAAAATTTAGATCTATATTACAATCAAGTTTTACTTGTTAAATTTTGGATAGTGGAAAATTTCAAACACCATTGTATTTGCTTAAACACATTTAACGTTATTTGAACAACTTTTACAATTATTGAAATAAAATGAAATTTTTTCTAGTATTTGGAGTCCTATGCGAAATGGACTGCAAAAATTTATATTTTAATTTAAAAAGCTTAATCAAGCTGCGTGCTAAAAATATGTAAACATTTTTTTACTGTAGATATAACACCTTAAGACATGCATATCGCGAAAAGTTATTATCTTTAATTAGGACCCAAGGACGCAGCCTTGAATTACATTTACATTACAAGACAATTTTTAGCGTATCATGCTATTGAATTCGGCATTCCACCATGGAAAAAAGAAACTGGGAGGAGGGGGAGGGGAGGGGAGAGGGAGGGGGGGGGAAGTAGCAGACGTGTTGAAAAGCACGTTGTATACCGGCGAAGAAAGTAAATTTCATTTACTTCAGGGTCGCCCGGTCACGGGAGAGAAACGTATTGTAGAAAAAGTGAGCAATGCGATGAAGCGCCGTCATTGAAGTGGTCGTGGTGGCGTTGCATTAATGCACGAAAGAGGTGAATGTTTCTGGACGGAATAAAGAAAGTAGCGGCTCCTTGGCGTCTGGGAAGGTGCAGAAACTTCGCTTCTAAATGCACGATATAGTTGACGGAAAAAACAAGAACGAAAGTACGAAGTATATGATACGAAGTATAAGAGAGTAAAATGTCCATGGTATCGTGTGCTTTCTCTCTCTCCATAAAGATCGGAGGATGAAAGTGAAAAGATTGCCGCTTTTTGCAATTTTCGAAGCATCGACAATCCCTAAACTATGAGCGATTGAAATTAAAAGGGTTCTAATTCTGATTAACTCACTTTTTATTCCCATGACACAATTGTGCACTTATTTTTGTGCATTGTGTCCAATAATTTATTTTCATCAGTAAGTTGTTAATAATAATTTTTATAGAATAATAAAAGATAACAAAAGAAAGTAAAATACATGATTAACGCAATTAACAGTAGTGAAAAAGATCATATACGCATTGTTATAGAACAATAATTACCTGGGGTTAAATTATTGCACAGTAGTACCTGTTACATACTCATTTAGCAGAAGAAAATACATTGACAAATAATCTAAAACTAGCAATATAAATTAATCATATAAGATATATTTATATGAGGGGTATACAAGAGGTTGGTACGAAAGTAATGCCATCAATTTTTTTTCTCAGAAGATTTGATTCCTACAGTTATGGTTTTTACATGATGTAATCTTCAGTCATTAACAAACATTCAGTTATTTTTTCACAAAGTCACCATCATTTTGTATGCACTTTTGCCATCTTTAAATCAGACGCTGTATTCCAAATCCGTCAAATTCCTTGCTGCGACTGTTGAGGGCTTCACTTTTCTTAATGGTGGAAAAATAACTGATATATATATAATTTTATATATGTATATTATATATAAAATAGTGTAAATGTAAATATAAATATCGGCAACGGCAAGCTATTTTCATATTTAAATATATTTTTTAGAAATTTTGAATATATTTATATTTATGATGAATATAAAGATTTGATATTTTGTAGTTAAATATAAATATGTACAAAATTTCTAAGAAACATATTTGAACACATAAATAACTGTTGCCCATTCAAATGCGACTTTTTTGGATCTTAATCATGTGTAATATTATTCAGAAGATATCAAAAAAGAAGATATCAAACAGTTATAGTCATCAGTTTGAATTTAAAACAAGAGAAATCTCAGACGTGATCGATATGCTCGAACTCTGCGTAATCAGCAATTGCGACGCAACAGCCTTACATTTTTTATGCAGTATAGTTGAATAAGAAATGCACTACTCATTAAATCTAATATATGACGCATTCCGCATTTTTTTTTTTAAATTAACATTTTATGACATTTTATATGACAAAGAAGTTGCAAAAATAATGATAATAACATGATAATTTTAACTTTTTTAAGATTATTATACTTGTAACTATCTTTTGTATGTTTTTATATTATAATCGCCAGCCGAAATGTAAAATAGACATATGAAACAATTTACATATTAGGACAAAAGTATTTGCAATGCACCAAAAATAATATCAGATGTTTATAACAAAATTCGTTAGTTTGAAAACGGAACTTTTAAAACAATCAATATGCCTTTCTTCTCGTAAAAGAGTTGTAGAATTGTTATAAGTTTAATTAATTAATTAATTAATTATATTACTTATCAAGGCTCATTGTGAGGGCCAGCTATAGAATTATAATAAGTTTATATAACAAATATATTTTCGTTTCGTGGTTTAACGAAGCGTTTCTCGAATTTCATAAGCGACATCTCACCTTGCAAAGGTATGACAACGCAAACTACGGTCGAAAGAATAGACTTCTACGACAGTATCTGTTAAAAGCAAGAAGAGTACAGCGGCCAGTTGTACATAGAAATACCTGCGAGTACTTCTTGCGACTCTTGGAAAGTCACCGACCTTGACAGACATTTCAAATCTCATTCCAGTGAATTAGTTTTTTTTTCTTCGATGTCGACAAGACATCATTTGCATTAAGTAGTATGTATAAAAAAATATCATCTTATCTTATTTAAGATCCATTAATATATATGCATCTAGATCGCTGAAACTTGACAATATTTTTAGTCAAATTTATGGAAATCTCTCTGAGATATTTGTTCAAAATGTATATAATGTCATTTATTTTGAAAATACTTATTGACGTTTTAAATATACAAAATAAGAATACGATGTTAATATTTGTGTGGAACAAACTTTTATTGATATCACAAGTACTATGGTGGCAATAATGATATGACATTGCTTTGCTATATAAGTTCTATAATATTGATGCACATACAAATACCAATGCGCTAGTTACTCAATGAGTGTAAATAAAAGTGAGTGTACAATATGGATATATGTTTAGAAATCGTAGAATTTTTAATCTTTTTATAAGAGAGACGTAAGTAGCTAAAAAGCCTTATTGCTCTCTATTTTAAGAGTAACATTCGACGATACGAATGAAAAGTGTTACAATTATTATTCTGAACTACATTCGGAAGTTTTCGTTTACAATAACGTTTTGATATTATTTTATCGTTTCATTATTGACTTAATTTTTATTTTTTTAAGTGTTGTAACTCTCTCTCTCTCTAATTCGCGATGATTTGTATTTATTTAATATCTTACGCTTCTATTTTAAATCAGAAATTTATTAAGGGGGAGAAAACTATACTACACATTTATTTTTATGAAATAATTTTATAATTTGCAACATTTGTAATTTATATTTCAGTATATTAATATATCTTCTTTTTCGTCTGCAGAAATACATTCGATATAACATAAACTTTGCATATGCTAAATTCTGACACAACTCTTTTAGCATGATTTTGGTATATGCTAAAGAGAATCTCAAATTTCACAAAATTAAAGATTAGATGGCTCGGTAGTTATATAACTGTCAGTTCGCTTACATGATGCTGGACGTGTTGACACACGTAAAAAGTGGTATAATGATCACTTTCCCTAAACTTGTTATTTGTTTTATATAAATTACACATAATTAAGAACGCATAATTATGTATACAATTTATACCCTCCAAAGAAAATATAAAATATATCAATAAAATTATTCTCACAGTTTGTTTATATTTTTTAAGATTAGCAATATAACGATAATTTTAATAAAAACAGCGAGAGACTGCGATTTTTCTTGAATCTTTAGTTAATTTCTTAACAAACTCGAGGAATGCTATTAAACAAATATATTTGAATAAGTAACTCTTTTATTATGCATTATTATTTAAATATGTATATTATAAAAAATTATTTATTTTTGCATACAAATTACTCTTAATGATACTGCGTTATTGTATGACGTCAAACTTTACATTTGTTTTTTTATATTTTTATGTATGAAGACAAATTTTTTTACAAAAGAATATCATTGGTATATTGTAGGTCTACACAGCGTTTTTGCAAAACAAGAAACAAGGATGTTAGCGCGAGGATTCGAGGTATATGGCCGGTTTTGCGCCGGTCATCCTTTAGAAGTAATCGTAACGACCTTTACGTTAACAGCATGTATGTTCAACATGGAAACTGGAACTGGTCTGGCACGTGAAGAAGGTTCATCTGCGGCGGCATATTGTCATCACAACCGATGTGACACCATGGTGAATAGATTTCATGAAGTTCACAATTATATTTTACATAAGATAAAAATAGTCAATGTTCATGTTTCACTTCTCGTGACATACTATAATTATTACTTATATACTATTGCACAGTTTATGCTTTATAAATATATCAGTATTATACAAGAAATTTATGATTATTGAAAAGATTTGGCAAAATATTTATAATTGCCATTGAATTAAAATTAAATTAAAATTACATTTTCATGTAAATTACTTTTGTAATTTTTTTTATAATTCTAAAAATGCAAATTAACGTGTAAAAAGCGTTAAACAATTATTAATATTTATATTTCAATTTTTTGACAGGATTCCAAAACGCCCGACATCATAGTGATGACGATAATCCGCGTGCTGGCGGTGCTATACACTTATCATCAATTTCGCAATTTGCAAAGAATGGGATCTAAATACCTTTTGGGTATGTAAAAGTATATTCTACATACGGCAAGTAATTCTTGTGTGCCTATTTATCTACGGCACGTATTTATATAATGAGAAACATCGAAATTTATTTCAAATTTGTTATTGAGAAGAGAGTTTTTTTTACGTAACTATGTTGTGTCGCAAGTATTGCTTGACACATTGGTACATTATATGTTAAAGACAGAAAGGTGCGGAAGAAAAATGTGTAATAATTATGCGTACCAGGATCATTCATAAAACCGGATCCTCCCAAATGGCGCGTGAAAGCTTTAGCGGCAGACAGTGAAAGTCTTATGGAAAGCAATAGCATTTCGTACAGAGCATCACGCTCGATTACTGAATCCGGTTACTTAATTTTTTTTTACTTGCGCTATTTAATTATACACAGGTGCTGCGCACCTAGTTTTTATCGATATTTAAATTCGAGATCAGACAAGCGCAACGTGTCCGCCAATCTTTTAACTGATGAGACGAAGATTAAAGCCGGTATAACTTTAAGTTTAAATCCGGATAATTTTGAACATACGATAATGATTTTTATTTTTATTTTAAAGATAAAACATTGAAACACGGTGATCGTGCTTTTTTTGTGTCTTTAATATCAAATGTTGAACTGAAATAAATAAAGTACTGAATACACTTATTATTTAATTTAATACAATGCCGATATTTCGATATTCAGAATTCATACGTATTATAGGTGTCGTCGGTCTATTCACTGTTTTCTCCAGCATGGTATTCACATCCAGCGTGGTGAGTTTTGGCAGTGATATAGCGGACTTGAAGTGAGTATATCGTTGTGCTTTACGCGTGATGGGAATAGCAAACATCTCTTTGCTCTTTGCGGCTGCAACGCAACGTTATTTCTCTTTCAGGGACGCCTTATTCTTCTTTCTACTTTTTATCAATCTTTCGAAAGCCGCAACACTGGCGCAGTACGCACTGAGCTCGCGTAGTCAAGAAGAAGTTAAAGCGAATATCGCGCGTGGTATGTCTCTGCTAGGTCCTACTATTACTCTGGACACTCTGGTGGAGGCTCTCTTGATCAGTATAGGATCCTTATCGGGCGTCAGGAGGCTGGAGATTCTCTGCACTTACGTGTGCCTCGGGGTGATCGTCAACTACGTTGTCTTCATCACGTTTTACCCGGCTTGCTTGTCACTCATATTAGAGGTATAGCTATATTTGGGTCAAAAATTTTAAAAAATCTGTAAACTTGTTTGAATTAAGTCTTTCCTACAATTTTTTCTTTGTCCAGAAATTCTAAAGTCTTGTATCATTTCAAACACAAAAGGTTGGCACAATAAAAACTAAACTAAAGCATAGATATTAAGGAATGCTCATTGTCGTTAAAAAATGCGCATTTATCGATGTTACTTATAAAAAAGATTATTTTCATGTTATTGTTACAGCTTTCTCGCGGAAGTAATAATATGGGCCGGCTGAGCGCTGACAAGATATTTATAATGCAGCCGTTAAACGAGGAGGATCAAAAACCAAATCCAGTGGTGGAACGCGTCAAGATGATCATGATTGCCGGCCTATTTGTGGTGCATGTCAACAGGTATATTTATAATATCTTTCGCGCGGTAGCGCAATAAACATTATCCTTTCGCTCTTTGACGTTGAAACTTTAGAATTCGAAGCGACCATACGACAATGTATATCGCGTATAGAGTGTACGTGGAGCGGAGAAACCATGGCGGGTTATCGTAAATCTGACCCCCATTTTTACGTTTGCGCTGCTTTTGTCAAGCTAACAACGCCTAATTTTGACACCAGGTCAGGTTCGTCTGTAGATACATTAGCATCCGGTATAACAATGAGACGACCGTGTACAATAAAGCCTCTTCCGTGTGCGATCTTATCTCCGAGAAGTTTGGGCGTTTTCAAAAGTTCGTTGATATCGCGATACGAATGAAACGCGTTCACAGGCGCACAGGGCCTGTACATTTCCATTATTTATCTCGTTCTGAATGGACGGTTTGTAAGAATAAATCGACGGTACTTGAACAATATTGTAATGAACGTAAGCGGCAAAATTGTTTTCTGAAAAGTATGCTATTTTGTGAAAATCATTTATCCGCGGCTGATTAAATTAAAATATAAAAATATAAAAAGTGTATTGTTCCAAAAGAAAAAAGTTTTGTATATTTAGATGGATATCTTATAACTCTCGTGAAAATATAAATAAAGAGACTCAAAGATAAAATGTGAAAATGTCATAAGGTGCATCAAACGAGGCTTCGTTAGCTGATATTCGTGCTTTATTCGTGCTAAAATCTGTATACTTACAACTCTTCGTTTTCAGTGTGTTTATATTACAATGAAGTTGTGTATTGTTTTGTTTCGTTATATGTTAAAAGGTTAATCCAAGTGAACAACTAATATCAAACATACTCACTCTACGTCTCATTCTCTTTTTTTCTACCTTAGAGAAACGTGTGAGTTTAAACTAAATTTACTCTCTTTTCCGCACGCGATCCTCCTCCATCTGTCCGAAAACACTTGACATAAGAATGAGAACACATATCTTATGGTCTAATTATTGGTGTGTTTTTTGTACTCTATTAATCGTGGTCAACAAGTATGTATCTCAATTATTTTATTAAAATGACTTGCAAATGATATTTTATTATTACGCGTATGTTTGATACCATAGTTTTTTATTTGTGGATTGACTTTTTAACGAATAACATAACAAAATAACACATTAAGCTTTATGCACCGACATTTATATTTATTCCGAACTTCTATTATAATATTTGCTTGCAATCTACACTGAAGATCTTACACTGAAGACTTAAACATTTGTAATGAAGAGTTACAGTTATATAGATTTTAGCACGAATAACGAACTAAGGCTCGTTTGCCTTCCTTTATGACATTTTGGTATCTTATAACTCTACTGTTAGAAAAAAAAAACGTTTTTTCTAAAAGGAGTTTTATGAAGATGTTTTATGAAGGAGTTTTGTGTATTTATCTAACTATCTGTTATACAACTTGTATTTCAAATATATCAAGAGCTACGCTTTTACACGTAATCATATGAATCGCTTTTATACGTAATTCGTATGAATCGCCACTTGTGTTATGCATTTTAATATTACATGAGGATGTTAATAATAATGTATGTGCAAGAGATCGACGGTCATCCATACAAAGTAAAATGAGAGTCCAAAAATACGTGACGACAGAGCGGTGATGAACGCAGATCACTCGGGATTTCTTTTTCCATTTGTCGAGTATCATTCTAATTTTGTTCTTAGTTTGAGATGAACACGTTGCTGCATTCGTGTATCGAAAACTGCTTTCTTGCTTTTACATTTTTACCAACGTACATAAGTTTGTCTGAACTTATTAGAATATTTGTAGAAGAATAATTTTATATAACGCGGGATATGTAAAGCAGCTTTTACGTAACTATTGTTAGTTATTTTAATATTTATAGTTATTTTAATTTTGCATGTTTACGATTATGATGTACAATTTTAATTGTGCTGTCGGGAAGGAAAAATGAACAAGAACATTTTGATCTTTTGCACATACATTATACATGCGTATATAATCGCGTTTTACGTAATATTTTATTTTTTTCTTTCATAACGAAAATATGGTCATTTATAAATTATGTTCTTATTCATATTAATTTTTTATGTTTTAATTAATGTTAATCCGTGTGTTGCAGTCGGTGGCCTTTTAAGAACGAGGAAAGCGAATACACGACAGAAACAGCTGCGACGTCCACGAACTCAGATGTAATAAACGGTTCCGATCACACGGAAAACTCCGAACTGAAGGAACACTTGCTGACTTGGTTGTCAGTAAGTGCGGATAACATTGTAATATTGATACTGCTGCTGGCGCTGGCGGTAAAATTCATTTTCTTCGAGGACAGAGGTGACGTCGCCAGACGTTTGCAACACCAGGAGGAGGAGGAAGCGACAGCGGAAGAGAGAGTTGAATTTTTTGATAACACTAATAATCTAGACAACATGAACAGCGCGGCTATGGACATATCACTGCGACAACGATTCGGTGTATCTTTGCCAACGATCCAGCAACCGATTTTTCCATTGTCCGGTGTGGGTGGCGAATGGATCGAAGTCGACAATGAAGCCAATGTGGAATATACTGATAAAGAAGTACAAACCGACGTGGTTACCCACGGCCTGAGCGAGTTGTCGCTGAAGAAGACCGAACCTGCCCGCAGCGTGGAAGATTGTCTCGAAATATATAAATCTGAAGTAAGAGTCGAATATCTTGTGTAAGCATCTGTTTTTTTGAAATCTGAATAGCCATAAGTAAATATTACGCAAACACATGCATATTCAATTGCATATTCAATAGTTGCAATAGTTGAAAAACTGAGAAATCGATCTAAGTATTCAAAAAAACTTTATTACAGTGACTTGTGGTTTGTTAATAAAAAATATGCACAAATTGCGTATCAGTTTAGAATTACATGTCAGAAAAAACCTATTTACTGCACTTGTGATTTTTTTTGTTTGCTTTATAATACTAATCCATTTGAAATGAATTTTTATTTGCAGCTTGGAGCCAACGCGTTGACAGATGAAGAGGTGATACAATTAGTAAATCGCAATCATATAGCTGCGCACCAATTGGAGAAGGCGGTGGGCGACATGGAGCGTGGCGTCGGCATCAGACGTCTCATCGTGAGTGCCGCCGGCAAATTTATCGAGGAAATAACTAATCTGCCGTACAAAAACTATGACTACAGCAAAGTGCACGGCTCGTGCTGCGAGAACGTGATCGGCTATCTGCCAGTGCCGATCGGCATCGCCGGACCATTACTGATCGACGGCCAGCTGTATCACATTCCAATGGCGACAACCGAAGGCTGTCTGGTAGCATCCACTAATCGCGGTAGTCGCGCGCTTATGAAATGCGGCGTGACCAGTCGCATAGTGGCGGACGGCATGACTCGTGGGCCCGTAGTACGATTCCCGAGCATCATGCGCGCGAGCGAGGCGATGGCATGGATGCAGCAGCCGGACAACTTCAAGGAAATGAAGAACAGTTTCGATCAGACTAGTCGTTTCGCGCGGCTGACGAAGATCCACGTGCGCATAGCTGGCCGGTACCTGTTCGTCCGCTTCGTCGCCAAGACCGGCGACGCCATGGGCATGAACATGCTGTCGAAGGGCACAGAGAAGTCTCTGCAAACGGTGTCGGTCTGCTTCCCCGACATGGAGATACTTTCCCTCAGCGGGAACTTCTGTACCGACAAGAAGCCCGCGGCCGTCAACTGGATCGAAGGCAGGGGCAAGAGCGTCGTGTGTGAGGCGATCGTGCCCGCGGACGTTGTGGCCAATGTGCTGAAGACGTCCGTGCACGCTCTGGTCGACGTAAACATTAGCAAAAACATGATCGGCTCAGCCGTGGCGGGCAGCGTGGGTGGTTTCAATGCGCACGCAGCCAACGTCGTGACCGCGATCTTCATCGCGACCGGGCAGGATCCCGCGCAGAACGTTGGCAGCAGTAATTGCATGACGCTGATGGAACCGTGGGGTGCAGAGGGCAAGGATTTATATGTGTCGTGCACGATGCCCAGTATAGAGATCGGCACCGTGGGCGGCGGTACGGGATTACCGGCGCAAGGGGCCTGTCTGGCGATGCTCGGAGTGAAGGGCCCGCACACCACGGAACCCGGCGAGAACGCCAGTAAACTGGCCCGAATCGTTTGCGCCACCGTGCTCGCCGGAGAACTCTCTTTGATGGCCGCACTGGCTGCCGGACATTTGGTCAAAAGTCATCTTAGGCATAACAGGTATGTCCGTTGAATGTATCGTTGATAAGTTAAATTGAAAACATGCGTTAGTAACAGCGTAAGTTCACTTGTATCGCGCTAAAAAAATATTACCATAAACTTTAAAATATTTAAATTTTTGCTGTTTCTCTCAAATCGTTCAATTTTTAATTATTTGCTGTATTTTAACTACGTTTGTGCTATCGTTATGTGTGCAGAAATATACTACTTTTACTTGCACAGGAGTTCTTTGATAAATTCTTATCATTTTTGATTAACATTTTTTTGCATTTTTCGATAAATATCTTTTAAGATAAATTATGATAATTATTTACCTTCTTTTTTTCTCTTAATTTCAGTTTTGAATATAATTCTTCATTAGGAATAATTAAGTATTTGCTTAAAAATACTGGATTGCATATTTTTCTCTCTTTTTGCAGATCATCTATCCTAATTAGTAACCAGGTGTGTCCTACCTATTACAATAATACAAGTGGCGAGAGACTAACCGTGCCAACCATTTCGTCGTGCGCAGATTTCACGCGAAAATCTTAGCATTAAATGTAGCAGAATATGTTTTTATAGCTTCTGTAAGGAGCGGACTGTGGTATTGTTTCGCACCTGCCTCATTAGTATCCCAAAGAAATAATTATTTAAGTATGTATGTATGTTTCTGCTGTATGCAATGAGATGTAGGTTGAATTAAAAATAAACTATAGTGTATACATATATACATACGTATATAATATCTATGTATGTATGTATACATGTATATGGAAAAAGCAGTATCAGTGTGACAGTTCTAATAGAAATGATTAATTGATATTAATTGTTGTTAAATAATTAACTTTGTCTCGCTAGATCCCCATTTAATTTATTAAAATTGTTCAATTACAATTATTAATTACACAATAAATTAAACAATTCTAATCAATGTCACAAATTAAACACAATTCAAACGAGCTAGTCGAACATATAAACTTCTTAGATGAAAAACGAAGAGTGAATTATGGAATATTTTCTTCTCCATTATTTCTATATCACAATGGTGCACATTTAGTAATAGTACAGCCAAGATTTCGTTGGAATACAGTGGAGGCATGCGCGAACGAGGCCAGACTTATCTCAAAAAGCTTCAACGATCCCTAGGACTATAAGTAATAATGAAATAATGTTAGTTGTTTGAGTTCTTAATGGCTTGAGACACAGGTGTCTTCGAATGCGATCAACTCGTGCTACTTGTTTAGATTTTTATTTCAGAACTAGATAAACAATTATACGCTTATTTATGACACAATATTATAAATGTTGAAAAGTGCAGCAACTGTCAAGCAATTATAAGTAAAATTTAATTTAAACTAGTTTTTCGTGTGATATGTCGAATATAGCTTAAACATTCGTGTCTTCCGAAGATTCAAATGTAAAGCTAATAGCAGACAAATGCATTGAGATACATAGTGAAAAATTATAAAAATAAAATTGGAAAAACAGTCGTGCAAATATATATATATATATATATTTATGTATTTCATTTTCATTATAAATTTTATGGAAGTATAAATTGGTGTTACAATCCATATTCTTTGAACGATATCTGACGTAATCGTTAACCGTGCAAAGTAATCGTTACATACTATTAAAGATTGTACATTAAGTGATAAGGCAGAAGCATGCCGAATTGGATTTATAGGGTTCAAACGCCTCGTAAGTCAAGTCTACACGTTGAATGTATGAAATATAGATTTATGAAGAATCTAATTAAGAATATATGTGCTATTACGCAACGAATAAATACAATTTTCGTGAAACATCGTTTAATTGACTTTTTGTTGGCACAAGCACTATAGACTATTGTTATTAATAAATGACATTCGTATTGATGACAGTTATTAACAAATAACACAAGTTGTTAATTTAAAATATGAATGTTGAGTTTATTAACTTGTTATTGATTTTTCAGTTTGATATAAATATCTCATAGGTACTCTTTTTATTAGTGTTCATATTGAAGAATAAAGAAAAAGCACGTAAAATTGTTGTAATTTAAATGAATTATCTAATGAAAATGAGTCTAAATTAATCTAAGAATAGAAATAATAAAATGTTCATATCTTAAAAACTACATCGCATTATTAAAATTTTATTATTTTTATTAAATATTTAATTAAATACAATTAGTTTTACTAAATCGCATAGATAGGATAAAATATTTTGGCAGTATTTTAGATTATAACTGTTCTTTCTAAATGTAAGAAAATTAAATATTTAACTTTTATTTAGAGTGATAAACATAAAACATGTAATAAAAGTTAACAATGGTACCAAAAAATATGCAACTGATAGAAAAGTTATTTTATTTTATTCTGTGAAACAATATAAAAAAGGATGCAAAGGTATTCAGTAACAGAATATATATACTACAAGCATAGCTCTAACAAGTTTTGGTGAGAAAAAATTGATTTCGTGACTCATCTATAATATTCATCCATAACACATTCGAGAATTTGTGTAGATAAAACGATATCAAATTATTTCAATTTAAAATATGAATAATATTCACATTTTTTCATACGTTTCCTCATAACTGCACATTTTGCAAGTATGTGTATAAGTATCGTCCTCTTCGTTATACGTATCCTTTCCAAACTCGTGAACGTGCGACGCCTTTGTTGTCTTATCGTACATCGAACTTCTCACTTGCATTCGCAGCTGTTTGATCTTTGTTATGACAAAATAAAATTTATTTTAGTGACAAGATATGAAATCGTACTTTGAATTCTCCTAAAAGATCAAAGTCAAGGTACCTTCTTATTGAATTTCTTGATTTTGGCTCCCTCACGCTTTGAATCGCGCATTTCTTTCTCTTTCAACAGATTCTCTTCTGTACCCCAGACTTCTAAAGCTCTTTGCTCTATCTGCAAATGCAGATACAACTTCATCTCACCCCAATTCACATTGTGAGGATTCTTTCGTATTATGTACTTCAGTATAGGTTCCCGCTTATCGAGATCGCAGTCTTTCAATAAGTACTCTTGTTTAGCTTCAGTTTTGGTGATTAAAGAGTGCTTTCCCTCCTTATCTCTAAAACAATCGCGATTATTTGTTATAAGAAGATATGCCTATCTTAAATGCTATTATCTTACCTGCACTTGTCACAGACAGACAGCTCAAACGTCTGCAAAAGATATGATTCTCCGAATTTCTGTTGACACTCCTCACACTCATTAAATTGACCGATTACAGGTTCCGGTTCTGTTCGAATCTTCAGCTAATTAAAGATACATGCATTATTATTAATGATGCAACAATATTATACAATCGTATATATGCATGTTGTATACCATTTGCTGTTCTAATTCATCATTTTCTTCTATCAAAAAGCCTCCACCACTATCGATAACACGTTGCCCTTGAACTTTTATCGATCTTCCTGTTGTTGTAGAGTCACCATTTTCCCTGTAAATCATATTATTGTTTACAATCAATCAAATTTTTAAACAGAAAGATGTAATTTTGATATTTTTTAAGAATTGATCATTAAAAGAGAATGCCAAATGTATTATAAGCCAAGAAATAAAGGGACATTAACCCTTTAAAAGGTCTCTTTACTTTTACACTTTTCCACACATATGTATAAAAAGATAATAATCACTTTTCCACATATGCTTAACACATACCTCGCATACGGATGAGTTACAATCTTAGATTTTTTTATCAAAAGTGCTCTCTGACGATTCCTTTCAGCTCTCTCCTTAAGCTGTTTTTCTATTTCCGCATTGTTTCCATTTTTGGTGGAGTTATTTTCCATACTTACAGTTGTTGTACTAGCCATTCTTTAATAAAATATTAAATTCACAAATACTCAACACGTGTACTTCCAGAGAAAGATTATACTCTGAAAAGAAGCAATAATTGTTACAGTTGTACAGGTTACAGAAGATTATTCGTTGGAAATTTTGTAATTTAAAGGATATTATATACAAATATATATATATATCAGTAACTCTACATTGTAAACAAGTTTTTCAGACAACACAAATGACTGAATTCTAAACAAAAATTTAGAATTTTAATAATTGGAATAGACTGTCGAAGAATATTATGTTATTAACGTTTATTTAAATCATATTACATAATTAGAATAGAATTACATATAAAATCAAAATGTAAAATGAGAAGTTACATTAAATATCAGTGACAATGAGAGGTTATCTACCAATTTCGAATTATGTATATAAAATCTTACATCAATACTATGAGATACAATACTATGAGAATACTTGATTGAGTATTTAATTTACATTTAATAAGTTATAATATAAAAAATCAGTAAACATCGCAAAAATCGCAAGAAACTTCTCACGCAGCAAAATTCTTCGACACGCTTGGTAAATAAAGATCTATCGGACTGGATTTTCTAACTGCACCTTCTTGTTCTTTTCGCAGTTGAAATGCACTGAAACGCATGTGTATTGTTCTACACATACAATATTGCAAAGGCATATATATACGTCTTCATAAAATTTAGTTTTTAAAAATTAAAAGCTGTTATTTAGAAATAATTTTTTAAAATGCATATTTGGACACATTAATTTCTGTCATATTACTTAACATTTAATATATTTTTCTGAAATTATAAGAAATTTTATTTGAGTTGAATCATTGCAAATTTTTAACAAAGGAAAAATAAAATGTCAAATATTTGTTATCATATTTGTTATCATTAAATTGTTATTAATTTATCTATCAACGAATTACTCGTCCAGTAACTTCTGGAGATATATTTTGACATTTAGTTAATAATTTGATGAAGATTTACATAAGAGTACATATAATAGAAATTGTAATTAAAAGTACTTAAAACAACACATCGAACGCATTTATTAAGATTGACGATTTAATCTTATTGCTAAAGTTATATATTACAATGTCGCGATTAAGAGTTCTATAATGTAAAATAATATTAACTTTATATAAATCCATACTTCGGAATCTGCAAAATAGTCATAATCACGCTTGAAATCAAATTTGCAGACTCGTCGTACATACATGATTCTTGTTATTTCATTAATACTTTCGAATATTTACGAATACAATTATTTACAAGACGCATGCTATATCGTAGACTAGATAGATTGCTGTTAAGCAGACTAACGTATTACTGGAGTGCAGAAACTCATGAGACTCTGTCAGCAACCGTTTTAAAGTTAATTTAAAAATGTGAATAAATTAACAAGTCAAATTGACATCTACAAACTGCTCGAATATATATAAAATACTATTTATATATGAAATATTATCGACTTGTCACTTCAGTTAGCGCAAATAATGCTGAAAAACGGATACAGAATACTAATACCAATATTAATATTGTCAAGGATGTAAAATGCGTCACGTTTAAAATAAGTCACGTTTTTCCATATATAATAGATGCATTTTGCTAATATAAATAGCAGAGTGCAAAAAAGATTTCATTTAGATTTGTTTCTTTTTCTATTCAAAATAAAGTAAAGATCTAATCATGTATAGGAAAAAGAAACATTAAAATGAAGGAAAAAAAACAGAATTGAAAGAGAATGTAAGAACTCTGAAATCCAAAAAAATACATTTTTTGTATTAAACACGCGTAAAAACAAAATGCATCTTCGAAAAGAAGACAATAAAATTATTCCATTTCAATAGAAAAAAAGTAAAACTTTACAAACTTCTACACTCCATATATTACGTATAGTTATGCGTGTTAAAATCTATCGATGATTTCGAAAACGTTCTGAAAATACACAGAAAAATCATATTAGTTACATTTGTCGCGGTGACAAACAATCAAGCTTTTAATCTGAACACGTTGTGCTGGCAATGAATTGCACGTATAACACGCGTTAAACCAACTTCGTTTGCCTCATGCTTCTGCCGAAGGACGCGCCGAGTGTCGAGGGAGAATCCTTTCAACTTTTCTTACCATAGAATTTTCGATTCAATAAATACAGAAGCAAGTTTACATTAACTTTCGCTCTGCCGAATATGTCCATGCGAGACGTGCCTTCGTACTGCAGTTCGAGCAACTCCTGTATACTGATGTCGAGTTTCTCGAGCTCGACGCCCATAAACTTGCAGCGCACGGCGAAAACGCCGCTGTGCTCGGTCGGGCTTATCTCGAAGATGACGTTTTTCATCTCCGTCGGGCTGAGTGCCTCGTCGATCTCCATCAGCACGCCCTTCTCGTGCAATTTCCAAGCGGAATACTTGACCGTCATCTTGGACCTCAGCTTGGACGGCTTGTACGTGTCCTTCCGCATCGCTTGATACGCGCGAAGTGTGCTCTTGCCGGCGTGCAGACTCTGGAGGCAGCGTTTTATGTACTCGTTGTAGAACTCAACTTGCTCCTGGTAATATCTCGTCTTCTCGTCCAGTCGCTCCTTGGTCGCACGCAGCGTCTGCAGTTCCTTATCTCTTATAACACGATACTTATTCTTGTTGCAGATGTCCCTCGCTATTGCGGTCACGATCGTCTGATAGCCGTCCGCGCGACTCACCCAGCCCTCGAGTTCGAGCTTATTGAGGTATGCGCGCAGCTGCATCTTGCAGTCGTTTATGGATGAGCTCTCGCGGACCGTCGGCGACGACACGGACGAGTAATCGAACAGCTTCACGCACATCGGGGACGAGGTGCTCTCCAGGGACTCCACCAGAGTCGGCTTCTTCAAGAACGGGATGACCGAGACGAGCAACTCTTTCGCCTTCACGAAGAGGTTGCTGAGATTCGTGTCGTCGTTCCGCGGCACTTGGAATTTGTTACTCAACACCAGACACACCTCCTGCTTGCTGTACCGCGCCAAGTTCGCTTGGTAGACGGTGTCGGATATGCCGAGCAACGACGCCACAGTCGGCGCCGGGCCCAGATCCTCCAGCAAGTCGTGCAGGGGATCGGATGGATCCGGCGCTATCTGGTCCTGATAATTCAGCATCAAAGTGTGCACCTCACATATTTCCTGCAGAGATATGTAGATCTCCGGACTTTGTATGAGCGTGGCTTCCGTGTACTCGTGAATGTTAAAGTGCTCCTCGAGGTCCTCCACTCGACAACAGTACCGGAAGAAGTTCTTGAACTTCTCGTGACAGGCGATTATGAAGTGATTCAGGCACTCCAGATGCGGCGCCTCCTCGCCGAAGCCCTTCTTCGAGGTGGAGAACTGCAACACCTTGGCTATACTGGCCAGATTCTTCCTCTGGCAGGAAGACAACGATCTGTCGACCGGCAGTGTAACGATGTCGAAGGTGTCCGGTGCCACGATCGCGGCGTTGATGAAGTGATAATAAATCAGATTGCCGACGGCCTTCAAAACATCCTTCTCGGGAGCGAGCGGAAACTTCTCCAACAGCGACGTGTACAGAACCTTCGATACGTACAGCATTCCGTAGGGAATCAGATCGCGGGATTGCGTTATTCTGTTCAAAAATTCGAGGGAGATTCTCTTCAGCTGGTTTATCGCCTTCGTGAGCGACTCCTGCACGGGAATGTGCCTCAACGCTTGTTCCTGGGACACCGTGTGAGGTAAATTTATAGACTGGCCGGATTCCATTTCCATCTGATTTCGCCAGAGCTTGTATATGTCCACCGGATTCGTCTCCATGCACAGATCCTTCTCTTCCAGGACCTTTTCGATCAACGGGCCTACGATTTGCTTCAGTGACACCTGACCGTTGAATTGTTTCGCGTAATTCACCACCATCTCGCGAACCAGCGGTTTACCGGTCAACACATCGGAAGGCTGATGACAATTGCACCTGATTTCCTCTCTCAACGCGCAACCGAAGAGTTTCAGCAGCAAGTAGTCCTCCCGTGTGTTCGATCCAAAATTGAATAGCGTTAAGATGATATTCTTTAAGAACAGCTTGTTCGTCTTGTTGGTGGGTGGTAAGTACAGCAGCTTGGAAAGATATTGCGGATTTGTTTGTAATGCGTAGAAGAGATGCTGATAGCCTTCCAGCATCTTACGACCTTCCTTCGTTAACGACTTGAGACCTTTGTGCGCGATCGCAGTGACATCGCATACAACAACGTTCTGCTCCTTACTCGCATTCTTCTCCTTCGCAAGAGTGTCCAGGCTTTTGCTGTGCGCTACTACATCCTAAATAGAGATGTCACGTAAAAAATTTTGTGAATTTAACGAAACTCGAGCTGTAGATTAAATCACGAAGAACATACCTGTAGCGCTATTCTATTTTGAATCAACAATCCTATTTTGATGTACATGTTATTCAGTTGCTCCGACAGATTCTGATTGTGTTTTATGCACTGGACGAGCTTGTGTTTCAATTTCTGAAACAGTCGTGAAAGCATAACTTCAATATTTGCGAATAATGCGAATATGAACGTAGCTTGTTATTCTAATTATCGTACTTGTAATTCTAGATCCTTGTCATAGTCCTCCGCACTGAAGCCCAACACCGCCGAAAAATATCTAACCACAGGGAACGACGGTCTTGTAGAGTACAATAACGAATGAAAGGCTTTCCTCGATGCTCGGCCGCGCCATAGAGCTTGTATCTTTATTATTTTATCCTCCTGCAAGATTTTATATAATATAATAAGATATAGAATATAATAAGAAACATAAAATACAGAAGTGATCAATCAAAAGGTAAAATCAAAATTTACATGTTTTTTATATCGGCTCAATTTATCGTCCCTGTCATTTGTCCTTGCTTTTAACTTATCCTGACGTAATTTATCATTCTTGTAATTTTTTTTCGCACTTAACAGTTTGTTCTGATATAATAATGCGTTCTGCCTCTCTCTTTCCTTCAGATATCGCTTACGTTGCCTGACGCCTCGCCACCATGCTTGTATCGCGATGACTTTTCTCACGTAATCTTTGAAATAATCGCGTCTCTTAGCGATTTTTTTACGCAACAGATATCCTCTGATGGAAGCTTGAAGTCCAGTAAGTAAGTTTTCATCGTATATCATACATTCTTCCTCACGTTTCTTCACTATAATGGATTCAATTGTTTCCTACGAATATAAAACTTGTTAGCAACGTATGTTTTTCACTTTATTAAAACTCGACAACACATACGTACGTTTATATCGTCTGTAGTGAGATAGTAACTTTCTGTGAAGTTTACAGGACATTCCCAAGCGTATCTTTTATTTTTCAAATCAATGTAGATTTTATTCCCTTCATTGGTGGTGTACGAAATGTATGGACAGCTGTGTATTTCACGCTGCAACCAAAAGCGTAACAGTAATTAAGAAGATGTACGTTATATTTTCTAAAAGGACATCCTACCTTTTCTCTTTGCAATTGTCGTAGCGCTAGAAAGCAACTCTCTTGATATTCTTCACTAAGTTCCTTAAATTCCTCAGCTGTTTCGAGGCAGTTGAGTGTTTGCATCACGTTATCGTTTTTCACATACGTATTGATATTGTATAAAAATGTAATTGCTGTAATAATAATATAAAAAAGTAGATAAACGCTTTTACACCTGTATTATAACGAATTCCAGTTTAATGAACGCGATAGATATACGAGCGTGACATACTTTCTTCGATTTTCTCGATTTCCAATGTAATTGCCTTCGCTATGGTTTCAACATCATCCAACCACAATCCAGATTCGTCAGATTGTTTTTCAATTAAACGTTTTTTGAACAGCCGCGAATAAAGGGGCGCGTCTTTCGGGAACGTAGGTATACCGAACTTCTCGGTTATCATTTCCAAGGCTCTCATCATGTTTTCATGATCGTTCGCCGACACCGCTTGATTTAGTTTATGTAAAATCTCTATAACTGTTTAAATAAGATAAATTATTATGATATAACGTTATGTATAAACGTAATAATAAGCTGTGCAATATTGTAATTATACCTTCGAAACCCTCATCACATTGCGCATTCACTGAATCAATGCATTCTTGAATGTCGCTGTAAGTTAATAAAGGACATTCTTCGGATATTTCTAGCTTTATCTTCCGAGTCGTTGCTAGTGCCTGAGCATACTTGACTTTGTTAAATTCGTCCAGCCCCTGCGGCAATTACAATATGATGTTAAAATAGCTAATTTTCATCAGTAAAAACAATTGCAAATTATCGTTGGACTTACAGTTAAACGTGCATTGGGATTCGACAACTTTTCGTACACGAAATCTGGACTTTTCGTGTCCACCGCTTTAGTAATAGCAGCAATAACGGATAACACATTTATGCTAACTATTATGTCGTCGTAGGTGAGATTAATCTGTCGGAAAAAATCATCGGTTAATGAAAAATTAAAAAAAAAAGTAGAATTCTCCAATTTCGATAAAATATCATTAAATTCTAATAAAATTTCCTGCAAATCTAGGCTTTTCTTCTTTCAAATAATAGATACTCGAAATGAGTTTTGAATAATTTTGAAAGAAAAAAATAAAAAGAGAATAAATCAATTAACATTGATATCGTATTCAATTCCTCAATTTTACGATTACGTTAATATATTTAATCTTACTTCAGATATTGTACGATCTTCTTTCATTTCCTGATAATACAATGGTATTGCAAATTCATCGAAGCAATGAGAAATTTCCAGAGATAAACTTTGCAAGATATCGCAAAATTTCTTTACGTCAGCAGATTCTAAAGCCATATTCAGATGTTTCACAGTTTCCCCTCCTGTAATAAATTAGAATTACAATATCTATTTGAAGATTCTTTACATAAAATTTTAAAAGAAATAATATTAACGTTTGCGACGTCGCTGTGCATTCTCGTTTCCTTTATCAATCGCACTTTGAAACGTATCTGTCCAGTACTGGATGCTTTCGGATGGATATACATCATTCCATTCCATTTTGTCTAGTACCAGGATTAATTGTTCTTTGTAATCTTCCACATTCTCAGAAATTATATTCTGTGGAACATTATTTGCAACATCAATTACGAAGATCTAATAATTATATTTATAGAAGAAAAATATCTTGCTATACCTTGAAGGATAATGTCGATATCCCTAAAGCGGATATTAATTCAGCGTTGTTGCGTGATACAGACGAAACAATAATTTCTAGCGCACAGAAAGCTGAAATATATTCATCATAATAATAAAGTCTGAACTCGCAGACAATATAATTAGCAAGATTTATTTTATAATACTTACCATTTACATAATTAATGTGTCCTTGTATTTCTGCTTGTGTTAATAATTCATCATATGCATCCGCTACATAACTGTCGTTGAGGGACTGAACAAACATTGCGCAAATTAAAAAAACCAATAAAAAATTAGTTAATTAAACATAAATATAAAAATTACGCAGCTATTTACTTTGTTAAGTGCTGCTTCCACTTTTGCAGCTTTTGCCTCTGACAATGCCTTGACATACTTCTCGATATAAACAGGTTTAATGTTATTTAATTGCGCCTCTTTACTTTGAAGAGTACGTAAAATTTTATCGTTATTCTGAAAATACAATAATTAATTCATATCATTACCATATAGAATTAAAAGTTCTTTTGAGTTGCCAAATGAAATAGAACATTACATTATCTATCACAGCTTGATTAATTGCAATTACGGCAGCATGAAGAGCAGCTGTATCTGTAGCAATACTGTTCGTCAATAGACCTCCTATTTTTTGGAAAGCAGGCATTTGGATGCCATATTTTTGCAGCTCTTTACTGACAGCGTTAATTTCTTCATCTAAAAGATAAAAAATGTCAGAATATAGAATATATACCTCTACATTTTGCAAGATAAAAGTAATCCAAATAGTATTTAAATTATTTCACTTTAACATATTTTTCTAAATAATATAAAAGACAAGGCGTATACCAGAGAAATTGACTTTTCCATACAAGTCTTGTATTTGTGGTGCTTGTCCCAATTTGAACAAATGCGTGCTAAGAGCATGAATACAATATATCACTCGTGGCATATTCTTCTTGTCATATATATCTGTTGTTTCTGGCAGGAATATCTGCAAAAGACAAATTAATAAGCATAATAACAAAATTCATGCTTTACTTTATCAATATGTTCTCTCATACAAGAACATACCAATGGCAGTCGCATAGATTCCAAGCATTTCAGAAAGTGATTTATGTTATCTGTGTGACGAAACTGTAATCCTACTGCGTTGTATCTGCGTTGTTCAGCATCATAGATTTTATTCAATGATAAAACATCAGGTGCCATAAAGTGGCCAAGTTTGGCCAGATACACTCCATTGCGAAGATTCTCTTCTAATTCGGTCGTGGGAGGCAATGTTTCTCTCAAACAAGCTTCCAGCCATCTGCAAAAAACGTTTATTAGAATTAATATTTTTTTTTTAATATAAAAAAATTATATTTTATTTTATATAGATAAATAATATATTTTCTAAAATATTATATTACTTCTTAGTTTCTTCCAAATGACAGAGATATTCATAAGCCAATGTTTTTCTACGTTCTTCATCTATTTCTTCCACTGACTTCCTCACATCTTCTAAAATGTATTTAAATAATCAGCTTAGAATTCATATTTCATAAGAATATGCTCTCTAGATCTATCTATCGAGATATTTAGTATACTTAAACTACCTCTATATTGTGAATGTCACATACAGAAAAGAAATATTTTTTTCTGGATGTTATTGTTTTACTTCCAAACAACTCACACAATTGTAATTATACACACACGTGCACAATTATAATTAATTATACGCGTGTACGTATAAAGTTATAAATTACTTATTACTAATAGTTGAAATGTTTATAAAATACGCAATTTGTGCGTAGATACATGCAACATGCATATTTATTACTATTATTATATTTGATATAATAAAGTGATAAAATACCGGTATCCTCACCGTTCGCATCTTTTGTTGAAATGTCAGTTACGATAACCATTTCGAAACAGAACTCAAACACAACTGTCACACGAAAAACTGCAAGCAACAGGTGAAAAACATCGGACGATACGTTACATTCTCGCGAATTCAAATTTGTCAGTTCGTGGTGGTTTGTGACAGTACTGACAACACCGCAGTGTTCATGAATGTAATTAAAGACCCTACGACACTAAAGGTATATCCAAACAACCTGCATAAGCGCATATGATATGCATAAGAAAATGAACCAATCATATGCTTATGTGCTTACGCAAATTGTCTGAATGTACCCTAAGTATGCTTTTTCAATCATGATGCATGAATATCTAGATATGAAGTGTTCGACTCGGGGCACCATCCAAACCGGAAGTAGTGGGCGTTAATGGCGTTAATATAAAATATATATGTATACACACATTTATATATATGTATAAATGTATATATATATATATGTATTGACAGGACATCGAGAGATGGCGCGGCGGACAATCTAGCGGACATAGCCGGACGGAGGGCTACTTCCTTCACCCAATACCCTCGGTGTGCACGTTCGGCCTAAGGGTGGGTCTGTCCTTCGTGCGGGAGGGGTCGCATAAAACGCGGCCACGAACGTGTGGCGAGTTCAAGCGCCGTAAACGTTCCACCGAATCGCTCTCGCACGCGCAGTGGCGTGAAGTAAAACGGGGCGGCTCCGCGTGCGACCGGCCGAAAGGGATCGCACGGCCGCCCGGCTCGCGTACGCGTGTTCCCGGTGGCGCATCTCGACACCGCCGACGACGAGGACGACGACGACGATCGAAAGCGGATGGAACGCGGCGCTCTCCGCGCGCTCCTTCCCTGATTCCCCGCTCCCGTCCGCCTGCTCGGGTGATAGAGATAAAGGGAGAGAGAGAGAGAGAGAGACAGGAAG